GGCGAGGACGTGGTGTTCGTTTTCGAGCTGTGAGTCGAGAGGTCCTGTGAGAAAACACATGTCTCAGAAGGGAGGAGTCCACCTGGTGAGAGTTATTGCTCGCCTTGACGTTTGTCTTGAGCTCGGCATATATCAGCGCCTCTCCCCGGACACTCGCCGCAGCGGAATTGGCAGACCGCTCATGAAGCGTCTCGTGGAAGTACCGGCTCTGTTTTCCAACCAGACGCTCCTTTTCGCTGCCGTAAGAGCTCGACGATGGCCCTCTCGTTGCCGAGTTCGAGGCTCCTGGCGGATGGGAAGCATACTGAGGCTGATTCGCTCGAGAAGAGTCGCTCTCTGGGACGGGTTCGAGGCTCGAAATCTTGAATATGGGCTTGGATCTTCTGTCCGGCGGAGAGGACGGGGGTGCTGCTGCGCTTGCATCGGGTGCTTTGGCGATGGTGAGGGTGGGCGGTTTGCGTGCTTTATCCATGGGGGAAATTGGGCATGAGGATGCCAGTCGTGAAGATTGTGGAAGGCTTGGAGAAGAGCTTCTGGGTTCTACATGTCCTCTTTTCTTGGGGACGCACAAGTTTCAGGCACAAGGAAAAAAGGTGAGCGCAAAGTGAAAGCCGTCTCGCTGCGTCGGTTAACTCACAACCGCTGTCGTTATCACGGCTTAACTGAAGTAATGAACTTGTTCAATTCTCACCGGCGCTTTTGTTTCACCTCCATCAACCGCACAATATGAAGGACAACAATGTCACACAGCAACGCAGGCAATGAGCTTGCGGGTAGCCTTCGGAAACACGGGGCGGATGCTTTGCTATCCATCTCAGTCGAGAAACCTGGGCGGCTTGCTGTTTGCCGGAGCCGTTGGAACCCTGCAGCATCCATTCCTTAATATGGCTTCTGTGGCACGTCCAAGTCGAGTCGGCATGAACAAAGCGACACGTTGTGTACTTTGGCTCCCAAAAACAATATCATTAGACTACCTATATATAAATTACCAGGTTTAGATACAGATATGTATATGTAGTGCCCAACCATCGTCCCCCGAAGAGCAACATGTCCAATCTAGTATACATCAAACTTCATCCATCATCCATCCCTCTTCCTCGTCCCCTATTCATGACATTCATGCTGACATCAAATCTACGCCTTGGTAGCCTGCCGTTCCAAAACAGCCTGGTAAGCCGCCACCGCAAGAATAGCCGCCTCCAGGGGAACAAGCAGCACGGTCAGCACGACGCCGGCCTGGCTCTGCTTGCACAGGGTGCCAAAGTGCGGCTGCGTCCTCATGGGCACGTCCTTCCAGCGGCACGTCCAGCTCTGGAGGCTGTCCACGGTGGACGAGGCGTTGACGGCGTAGAAGAGGGACATGGCGACGAGAGAGGCGACGAAGCTGATGGCGGGAGCGGCGAGGCTGGCGATTGCGTGGGGGCCAGTCAGGCTTCGGAGCTGTGTTTTGTATCACAATGGTGTTAGAGACGTTGTTCTCGGTAAAAAAGAAAGACGAGGCTGAAGCAAAAACAACTTCTTCCCGGGGGGCTATTGCAACTTACAGCCTGAACCCTGCTAAACAAGAGAGACACGACATTGGCCACCACGACGAGCACGCCCCCGGCGACGAGCGCCTGTGTCGGCCGCAGGTCAAACTGCGTTGGCCACAGCTGGAGGAAGAAGTCGGGCGGCAGATATGTCTCGTGGTAGACGAGCAGCCCGTTGGCCGCGACGCCGAGGACGGTGATGCCGGCCGCCAGGGCCAGGACGGTGAGGCCGACGCGGACGCCGTGGACGAGGCTGAGGAGGCGCAGCTTGGCCTGGTGTTGGACCTGTCGCTGGGCGTCTTGGGCCTCGACCTCGAAGTCGGAGGCGGAGAGTTCGTTTTTGAGGCTCGACATTTTGTTTTGGGATGTGTGTGTATTTGGATGGGATTAAGTCAAGCCAGTGACTGTATAGCACAGGGAACAACTGAACAGATTCAAGCAAAAAAAAAGATGGAAGAACTGAAAAAAAAAAGAGAAAGAAAGGAAAGGAAAAAGCAAAGATGCTTGGACACGAGCTGCTGAATCACGAAACAACAAGTCAACACGATGGGATCAAAGCGGGAAACGCTGCATACATGTACATTTTCTGAACAATGAATGGACAAAGCAAAGACATCAAAGTCCAGTCTCTGGGCGCTTAACGCCAACCTCGCAATCTCAGATCTCTCTCCTCCTTGAAAGGTTCGTTCTCCCACGAGCAGCCAATGGCATGTAACAGCCCGCCACACACACTCAACATCAATGCAGGAGTAAAAGAAAAGGCTAGTACTCGAATGTAACCCTATAGCCGCCAGACACACGCCAATTAGACGCTCCCAGACGGTGAGATTGCGGACGGGGATTGGCTGGATTGTACGAGTGAAAGGGAGGAAACGAAACAGAATCCGGGGAATTTCAAATGGGTGGTTTGCGAGGTCGGTCTTGTTTTAGTACTTGAGCCTGGGTTCGGCGCTTGGAGGAAAGTGCCGGGCCAATGGGAGGAAGAGGCGGCAGGATGGAAATAGATGCAGGGGGGCAGGACGAGATGGTGTTTCTTTTATTTTGGGCGGCTACGGAGTGGAAACGTGGAGGGAGGGATGGAAGGGTTTCTTTGCAGAGAAATCTTGTGTGCAGTTCCCTTATCTTGACCTTTCTTGAAGTGAGGATGCATGCATGATGCCGGGGATATAGAAGACGGAGGGGGGGAGCTTAGATGAAGGGCTTCTCTGTCGCGCGCGCCAAAGGAGATGCAAATTGGACTTCTTGGTGCATATGCAAGCGCAAAGTCAGCAAAGCTTCGTCTCCTTGGGGAGAATGAAAGGGTTATTTCGCGGGTTTCCTAGATGGAGAAGCATGCAGCTATTCGCATCAGACATGGTCGGGTGCGAGGGTTATATTCCTCTCAAGGTGACGGCTGTGTGTACGAGTTGTACTACTTGTATCTGCGAGGACGACGCGGTTGACCGAGGGCACCGACTGGGCGAAGCGGCAGATGGATGAAGCGACTGGTAGTCGTCAATGGAGACTTGCCCATGCTGAGTATCAACGTGGAAAGCTGAGAATGCGGGAGACGTCGCTCTTCTGCCGAGGAGCAAAGACATGGCATTAACAAATTCGTATACTACCATTGCCTGAATCCTTCCACTTCCCATCTCCCTCTCCATTTCTTGTCATGTCAACTAGTAGTACTACACGCAAATCTTACCCCGAGCTTCACTGCGTACGAGTTACTCGTACAAGCAGTAACTGACATCAACAAGTCCGAGCTCCGTGCTCATCCCCACTCAGCCCGTTCAGCTGCCACCGGAACCCTGCCGGTGGAGATGGCCGCCCTCTCCTCGGCTTAGCCTGCGGATGGAATGTCATTTGCGAGACCAGGGAGGGGGGGCGCGTACATAGGCAGAAAGACGAAGAAGAAGAAGAAGAAGATAGTAGTAGCTTTTTCTCTCTCTCTCCTTGTCGATGGAGTCTTCGTTAGGCTTCAGTTGAGAAGATACGAGCAGGCAAAGTGTCATCAGCCCTGGGAGACGGGGCTGCAGGGACGAAAAAGCAAGGGGGCTTGCTCTGATAGAGAAGGGGAAGAGAGGGAGAGCGAGGGGAGTAGTAGTAGTATGGCAAAATGAGCTGAATTGGATGGCTGTTTATGCAAGCGGCGGTGGATGGAGTCGGGGAAATACATACAGTTAGATGGGTTTTGTTGGCCGGGCTCAGCTTGGGTGGTTTGATGCAGAGCTGAATATAAGCGAATCCTGGAGGTGCGTTTGGAGGATCGACGACAGGCTTGGTATTTGGAATTCGGTTGTTGAAGTCTCCCTTGCATGTAGTATTCTGCTTGACCTTGGCGATGCCGTGTAGACGATGAGATGCTTTATTTCGAGCATCTACACTGACCTTGGTTATTGCTACTGTACAGTTCAGTGCTCATAGTAGGTTGGCCATCCGCATAGCCAATTTGTAAGGTGCATACGGTAGACATTATAATGGGTG